AAGATTTATACCGCCCTGTGGTCCATTAAAAACTCGTTCTATTGTTTGAGTAAGTTCGTTATTGATATCTTCTGCTCCTTTTCCTGCAAATTGTTGCGATGCTATTGGTGAACTATTAAACTTGAAATTATTGAAAATTAATAATAATTTTTTTATTCAATCACATTCACATTCAAAATCTTTTTTTTTTGTTTACTACCATTAGTTACTTACTCACCATTCTACATTACAAACAACTCTACCTCTTTTTGATTTAATTTCCATCACCTGTTCATAGTTGCCATCAATTTCTATTGCACCAATCTCAATTTTTACTCCAACCAAAACATCAGTTCCTTCCCCAAGTTTACACCTAGCACTACCACTTGCTTGTGAAATAACTCCAGTTTCTAAAGAAACTTGACGATAATCTAATCGTCCTCTTCCATCGGCACGAATATTATCATCGACTCCCTTAAAAATAAAATCAATTTCCGACGGTGAAATTAATGATAATGGCATAATAATAGTAAGTTTATTAATTTGTAGATCATATCAGGAAATATAAAAATTAATATCGTATATTTGATGATAATTATTATTATTATTATGAATGCTAAAAATTTTCCGGTATATAGTTGTCACCTCTCTAAATTGGAGATCAAGTTCAGATCCAATTCAAATTCAGTTTATAACTTACTTTTTTTATTGCCAGAACGTTTGCCGTGTATTGTAAAGCTACGTTGCACGATATAAAAAATTAGTTGACATTTCAAATTTCCACTATGCTATCTTGTTAATAAAAAATGGCGTTAAATCAATATTTCAACTTTAATAGTATCAAAATATTAATTGTCTATTATTAGAAGATAAAAAATTTTTAACCAACAACAACATTAAATTAAATGATTTTGAATTATTTAAAAAACCACCATTACACAATTTACAACAGATTTATACTTCTGGAAACTTCAGAATAAGTTAAAAGATCTAATGAGAAATAATAGATATATAGTTATTATTCATTTTTAAAAAAGGTTGACAAACTTTATTTTAGACTATTCAACAATATTAGAACGCTTTATATTAATCATCCTAGATTTAATATTTGTTTTCTAAATTAGAATGTTGTTGTGACTTTTATAATAATGAATTATTTGATAAACTAGCACGTACTTGTAAAAATATCCAAGCTTTAAGATTATGAAGTCGTTATTCTACAAGGTAATTGTAATTTGCCACAATTAATTAAAGCACAAAATCAAATTAAAAAATTACATGTGGAATAAAATTCGATCAGTTGGAATTGCAAAAGCACTATTAACTCATTCAGAATCAACAATTGTATTCAACTGTTAGTGAAGAAATCAGTTAAATCCTTTATTAATATAAACACTAAAAAATTTAAAAAATTTGAAAATTTCAGTTGGTTATGGTTATTGTGATACTTATTTGGAATACTTAAGATCTATTTCACTTCCAAATATTGAAGCTGTGATTTTGGATGGAATAATTTATCAAAATTCATTTCTATTAGGTCTGTCAGAATTTATTGAAATCAATGGGAACAGTTTCATAACTATACATATAGAAAGAGAAAAAGAACATCTAAGAGGTTTAGAAGAACTATTAAATTCAATTTGACAAAAATGCCATAATTTAGAATATTTTATCATAATATTGATCAACAGTTATTTGGAATATTTAATAATTGTAAAAAAGATTCTATTTAACAAGGTAAATGGTGGAATGGATGATGATAAAATACTTGAAATTTTAAATCAAACATTGCCAACAATTTTAAATATTATTACTTTTGTTAATGAGGTTAATTTTTCTAATAAAGAAGATATTTTATTAAAGATTTTAATTGACAATTGGAAAGGATTTTTATACTAAAAAAGGATTCTATATTTGTGGATGGTTCATTATTTTGCAATGGGAATCTATAGTGCCGGTCACAAGTACACATCCAATAAAAATTGCCTTTCTAAGAAATGATATTCAGCAAAATAGAAAAAACATTTTGAAAA